AGTAATAGCAAGGTAAAGCTTATGTTTATGCAACAAATATGTACATATATATGTAATGATAAAATTGCAACAACAATAAGTATTCAAACTGACTTTCAGACTGAAAATTATTCATTGGTATTTTAGATGTAACTTTTCACTTCAAATAGTATTTTAAAATTTGAAATCAGAAAATAAAATATAATAAGGCAAACAAATGCACACCTCTGGAATAAACGTTTTCGTTTCTAATTCAATGATTGATGGCCAAATGACTGAATTTTGCAATTGCTGTAATCTCTCAAAATTATGCAACCATTGAACAGAATCATCGATTGATCCTAAATAAAAAGAAAACATTTTTTTTTTTTTTTTTTGGTAGAATTTATATATCACTTTTAAAATTTAGTTTTTATTTTTTTTAAAATTATTTTTAAGACAGAATTCTGGAATATCAAATGATATATGAAATACTAGCTTTAACATTTATTTTAATTATAATATAAATTGTGCTTACTTAATGATTCGTTCATATTTTCGATAACTTTTTCAATCCGTACTTTATCATCACTATTTTTCGTATATTTGTGAATTTCTTTCAACAGGATAGGTAACCTTGTAATGCGCTGCAATGGCGCTATTAGTAAATCTTCTAATTGTAACCGTTCACAGCGCGGATCTGTAAGACATACCTGAAAGTAATAAAATTAAATATTTGATGAGTAAATTAAAATTAAGTCAAATTAATATATATGCTTTTGTAATTTCTTAAGATAATGCAAAGAATTAGTGCTAATTATCAAATAGAAAAAGGCACACAAATATTAGTTAAGTGATTAAGTATTAATTAAGTACAAAAAGTTAATTAATATGTGAATATTGATGTGTTAAAATGGAAATTTATAAAATTTACTCCTTCAAATTCTGTAAAACGTTCCTCTTTCTCTCGTATTGAGCCCAAATATTCCATCGTGGCTTTATAATTAATGCAATATGCCTGGTAAGCTGATATTGTTGATGGTCCTTTGGAAAACTTTAATTCAAGATGATTTAATAGATAATTATAGTATTTCAAAAAAAAATTTTTTTAAAACTTAACTTTTTTAAAGATTGAAAATTTAAACTTAATTATATATCAATATTAAGGATCACTTTTTTTAAAATTTTTTTCTCTGATCTTTTTTTTTTTTTTTTTTTTCATTTTCAATTTTTATTAGAATTGAGGAAAACTTGCCCGTTCGAATAATTTAACAATAAGATTAGTTGTATTATATTCGTTATTTTTGCTAATCGTACCAACTTCATCCATTATTTTAAGAAATGATTTGCAAAATGACCAACTTATCTGCAAAAAAGAGAAAACTTTCACTTTAATTACTTATCAAATCTTTGATTTTTAAATTAAACATTTTCGTTTAATTTTACTGAAATTCGAAGTTCAGTTTTTATTTCATTATAAATCAATTATAGAAAAAAAAAATATATTTAAAAAGCATAAAACCCGGCATATTTGATCAAGATTTCCGAAAAGTAAATCCGGTTCCACCGTCAATAAACATCCCTCAACTTGACATTTTTTCAACGGCTCTTTGTAAACATTTCTAAAAAAAAAAAAAAAAAAATCAAATTTCAGATTTTTAATCTCAAATTTCCAAATGTATTCTCCTCAATAGCATTATTTAAGTTTAATATTAATAATTATTCATCCCAATAATGTTTGATAAGTGTAAATCAATTAGCAGTTTGAGTTACGTGACCTGCGTTGCAGTTATACGTCAGAAATCAATTTCAAATTGCATTCATTTTTAATTTAATTTCTAATCGATTAAATAAAATAAACCTCAAAACGAGAAGTTGTTTGTGAAGAAATATTAATTCACTATGAAATAACTCCCATACAGCTTGCAAACGTTTTTTATCAATTGAATCCAAATTTTCCGGATTAACAGCAAATATTTGATCCCAGTTAACTAACTATAAAATATCAAACAAAATTTCATTAAATCTAATAAAAATTTGAATCATATATCATAGTTTTTGCATTTTTTTAATTCAAAAATTTTCTTCGCTATGTTGAAGGAAAATTTTTTTTTTTTTTTTTAATAAAATAACAAAGAAAATTTCAGTATCCATAAAAATAATGCATAAAACAATGAATTGAAATTTATAAATTCTTTTCGAATAGTACAAAATTGACAATATATTAAGTATAAAATTTAAATGTTTTTAAAATTTTAGGTTTGAAAATTTCATTTGATTTTTGTAAACATTATGCAATTTTCATGAAGTATTTAACAAATTCAAAAAAAAAAAAAAAAAATCTATATCTTGGACTTCTCACGATATCTTAATTATATTGTTGTTTATTGAGATTTTAACAATTTGAATAATTTACAAGTAATTTTTCCAATTCCTCATCATCAAATTCAGGATCGCCAGACGTTTCTAACGCTGCTTGCACGTGTTTTGTTATTTCACGTCTTTTGGCTCGATGTGACCATTCATACTGGAAACAATGATAAATTCTCTTATTGATTAAATTTTTGTTTGCTAGAATTAGGTATGATGATAGCTCATTAAATTTGAATATGAAGAGGCTCATTTTCAACTTGTCTTTTTTCCTTTTGGCTTAATTTCTGGCCACATAATCCTTCTCTCTATCTCTTTTTTTTTTTTTGCTTTAAATAGCTAACAACATCCATCGTTATCCATTGTTTTAAAATTCAAAAATATTTAAATCCATTTTTATCACAAAGAGAAATAACAAATTTAAATTTGAATTAATTTCCTTTCAAAAACTATACCAATCGTTTCAAAATCCACGGTGATCTAGTCTTTGATTGCTCTTTTGCATCAGCATAAAATGCTTGAGTTGCAATTGTCGCCCTTTGTAAATCTAAATTTTATTTCTTTTTATGTGAATTTGAAAATAATTTTATTTGTTAATACTTACATATACTATGTATACTGTATTTATTAATATCAAATTTTATTATCGTTAAAAAAAGAAAGAAAAAAAAACAAAATCGAATAATTTCAAAAATATAACTCATAAATTTTAATTTTTGAAATATTTTTTAAACTGAAACAAATAATTGCAATTACTCCTACAGATGAAATACATTTTAATAACTCAAATATATTTACAAAAGATCATAAAAATGATCTAGAAAAGATCAGATCATCTCTCTTCATTATAATAAATTGAATAAATTTCAAAACTTTATTGAATGCAAATAATTTCAAATACCTACCAGCTAATAGTCCACCTCCAGAACTGATTGCTCGATTAAAAAGTTGCGAATCATTGGGAGAGATTTTTAAATGTGGTACAATGATAACATTATCCGAACAACCTTCTACATTAGCACTGCAAAAAATTTATAATATAATTTTTCAAATGTTTAATTTCTTACTTTCATTTTATTTTCGTGCAAACTATCAGAAGAAAATACAATGATGTAAAATAAATTAAAAATTTAAAAGTAACAAATTTTTATAATATGTAACAAACAGAGATAATGTTAGCATAATATTAATAATATCACCAATAATTTCAATTACAAATTAAATTTGCTTAGTTTAAAAAATTCAAATTAGCTTAACCATATTGACTATGCTAATTTCAGAAATAAAAAAAAAAAAGAAAAAACAAAATGAAAAAATTAAGAACTGAAAAAGTTGAAATAAAAGAATGATGATAGTATATGAAATGGATTATTCTTCATCCATCTTTTTTGATCTTCTTGAAAAAAAAAAAAAGAAAGAAAGAAAAAAGCTAAAGGTATATTTTAATCAAATTAACTCAATTTGAAATGCATGCTTGGAAGACTTACTCATCCTGTTGAATCCTTGGCTAAATAAACATATCATAGCATTAAGTGATAATATATTTAAAATTTTGCAAGAAAATAAAGAATTGATAAGTTCATTTAATTTTACTGATAGAAATGAGAAAATGTTAATCAATAAACTTTAGCTTAATTATATGATATTTTTAGAATTATCAAAAGATTAAAGATTTATGAATGATATTGCAAAAAATGAATCATTGAGAGAAATATTTTTTGAAATATAATAATTGTTATAGTTTTGATACAAATTTCATTTTTTTTTTCAAAATGCACAATAATAATATGAAATTGAAATATTGCAATAAAAAAATTAATTAATTAATTAATTAATTCTTACCTGTTCAGGTACTAGCGCATATCGTCGAGTTAATTGTTCTCTGTTTGGATGAAGTGTTTGAACTTCAGTTTCTTCTTGCTGTAACATTATAATTTCAAATTATATTTTTTGTAATTAAATTAAAATTCGAATTATTGAAGATTTGTTTACATACCTTTATCTTGTATTCAATCATTTCGATTTTAATATTCCTGGAAGATTAATATTATTTTAAAAAAACAGTAAATTTTAAATTTTCACGCTTAGATAACAAATATTTTTTGTGTTTATGTTTTTGTTTTTTGTTTTTTGTTTTTAAATTAACAATGTTTCAAGTAAGTTCTATGCATACACATACAAATTCATATTTGCATATCATATTTGTAAATTATTTTATCGTTTTAAACTTAACACTTATGATTTGAAATGTTCAAATTAATTAATTTAGCATTAATTTTATAACAATATTTTAATATTTCGTTTTTTACTTATTATTATTTATTTGTTCCTAATAATATTTTGCTACAATATATCAATGCAAGAAGTTATTTGATCAGAAGAAAAGCGTATAAATTACTTTTCTTATCGATAATTAAATTTTTCTGAATGAAAAAAGATCATTTTGTTGAGTGCAAAAGATCAAAAATCTTTTATAGCTCTCATGAGAAATCATTTAGTCATTTATCTTATTGTAAACTATTATTTATAAAACATTGAATTATTTCAAACATTTTGAACCAAAAAATTTTTTTTGCATTGATCGAAAGAATGCAATTGGACATTACCGCTTTTGCATTGATCGAAAGAATGCAATAGGACATTACCGCTTTTGCATTGATCGAAAGAATGCAATGGGACATTACCGCTTTTGCATTGATCGAAAGAATGCAATAGGACATTACCGCTTTTGCATTGATCGAAAGAATGCAATGGGACATTACCGCTTTTGCATTGATCGAAAGAATGCAATAGGACATTACCGCTTTTGCATTGATCGAAAGAATGCAATGGGACATTACCGCTTTTGCATTGATCGAAAGAATGCAATAGGACATTACCGCTTTTGCATTGATCGAAAGAATGCATTAGGACATTACCGCTTTTGCATTGATCGAAAGAATGCAATGGGACATTACCGCTTTTGCATTGATCGAAAGAATGCAATAGGACATTACCGCTTTTGCATTGATCGAAAAATGCAATAGGACATTACCGCTTTTGCATTGATCGAAAGAATGCAATAGGACATTACCGCTTTTGCATAAAATCACATAGCAATAATTTTTTAAATAGAGAAGCTAATAAAGCAATCAAGTTTTTCACATTTCAAATTGACAATTTATGGTGAAGTTTAAGAAGTGCAATGACATTTACGAAAAGGGATAAACTGATGAAATGACAATTTCTAATTTCACATAAAAATAAAAAAAAAAAATGGATGGGCGCAAAAATTTAGAATGAAATCTGATATGATATGCATATTGGTAGAACAATTATGACTATATATTTTAATAAACTTTATTTATTATAAATTCAAACATAATTTCAAAAAAAAAAAAAATAGTAATAACTTTATTAGAAAATTTTGATTTTAAATAAAATTTAAATAAAATTTCAATTTGAAAATTTTGCTTAATTCAATGCACAAACATCAAAATGAAAAGAATGAAAAATTGTCTTACTATAATTTCATCTTCACTTTCTTTCATCATTTATTATTCATAAATTATTTTTGCATAATGAATTAAGTGTAAAATGCTTAAATATCTTTGATAATAGTAAATAGAGTATAAAATAGTAAATGCATTTAAATGCTTAGGTAAAAGAGTTAAATATTCAATGAGTTTTTGTTTACTAAAGTTTCAATTAAATCAGTTTCAGTTAAATTTTTCAATTTTCATTATAAATGAAAGATATAGGAGAGAGAAAAAAAAGGAGCTATATTGAGGAAGTCGAGAAAAATAAACAAATTCAGGGAAGTCGAGAGATAATCAACTAATTCGAGAAAACTCGGGAATAACCGAATAATTTTTATAAAACTAATTTGCGTGACAGCAAGAAATTTGCTGCATTTTTTTGCATTCCAAAAATTTGTGCGTGTATTATAGTCATAAGCATTTTTTTTTTTTTTTTTTAAATTTAAGAATTATGAAAAAAATTCATGTTTCATTGTACGTAGATTAACTTTCATTTCATTTCATTTTTTTTTTTTTTTTCACAATCAATATTTCAACTTTTGTTTATTTCTGATAAGAATTTTGTTAAGACTTTAAAAATTTATACTAAATGAATGCATAAATTTTATTTTAAAAATAAATTAAATTTAATTTTTAATTCACATTAAATTTCAAATTTTTTCAAATCAAATTTCACATCAAATTGTTAAAAAAAAATGAAAAAAAAAGCATTGTTTATTTCAAAAGCTTAAAACTGTAAAATTTATAAGAATAAACAAATTTGGGTAAAAAAGAAATGAGAAAGAGGGAGAGAGAGAGAGAGAGGGAGAAAGAAAAAAAAATGATGTTAAAGCTGAGTGTTTATAAAGCGTGAAATATGATGATGCATCTAATCACAGATAGCTTTTTTCCCTTTTTCTCTTTCTTTCTTTCTCTTCCTCTCTCTCCCTCTCTCTCTCTCTCTCTCCTTCTTCTCATTTATTATTGGAAAGTTTAAAGCTAATTATTTTCATTTAACTTAGCTAACAATGCATTTCATAGAATTAATGAGTAGAAGATGGGAAATTAAACTGTAATTGCAACATTTACTTTTTTTTTTTTTTCTATTTATTCATAATTAGCATTTTCATATCTTTTCTACTTACTAATTAGAAAATTAGCAAATAAAACTTTTATGCTAATACTACAAATATTTCATAGAATTTGTTGAAAATATATTTCATATTTTTTTTAATTCCCTCTTTCTCTCTTTTAATCATATTGATTGTTTTATATGAAATTAATTTTAATTTTATATCATAAATAAATGCTATTTTTGAAATAGCAATCAATAAAAGCTAATCATAGAGATTATTTTGTGTATTATTTGAAAATGAATTGAAAATGAAATTTGTTGAAGTTTAGATAAATTAGCAGTAAAAGAAAAAAAAGAGAAAAGAAAAATGTTCGTTCAGCAAAACAAGCAAACATTTCGATTTTAACTAATTGTCTTTTCATTGAAATATCTGAACTATTGATAAGCTATTTGAAAAATTATAATTATTTTTCTTTTATTTCCGTTATTTGAGTAAAAATTTTAGATTAAAAATTGATGAATAAATTGATAGCAATGTGTAATCAAATTTTAATAATTTATATCAAATATAAATGAATGCAAAAAAAAAAAAAACATTTGAAAAAATACATTTAATATTGAAAAAGAAATTGTCATAATTATTTTTGCTAACATTTATTTTTTTTTTTTAAATTGAAACAAATACATAAATAATTTTTCAATTAAATAATAATAATATGATAATTAGCTAAATTATTTTTATGCTTCAACTCTTTTTTTTCCTTTTTTGGAATTATCATCTTTTGTTATTAGAATATAGTTGACTGCTGCTTAACTTGGTATTTAATTTTTTAACTTTAAAATTTTTATATAACAAAAAATTTTAGGAAAGTTAGAAACTGATTAAATCTGTCTCATAGATCAATAAAATTTAGATTTAAAAAGAAAAATGCAGTATCATTGCTTTTAAAAAAGATGAAAATGATTGAATGCTATCATTTTTTACATGCAACTAATACTTTATTGCAGGAAGTTAAAAAAGAAAATTGAACAATTCGACAATTTTTAAAAATGAAATCTTTCTCGAAGGATTCTCGATAAAAAAAAAAAATCATTTCACTCTGGGATTTATTATTTGTAAATAAAAAATTATCAATCAATTCGTATAATTTTGAAATTTTTTTAAATTACAAAAACTTTAGTAAATTATGAAACTTAAATTTTATCGTATAAGCAAATTCAGATGAAATTTCTACAAATTATTATTGATAATCAAAAACTGATAGCGTAAAAATGTTTTTTTTTTTTAACTTATCAATTGATAAAATTTCTATCCAAAAATTCTGTCAAATAATTTTCCAAATTAATCAACAAATGAAACAATTATAAATGATTGAACAGCTAAACTAATAAAGATGGCAATTATTGTAAACAAAAAGAAAAAAAAAATTGAAATAAGTAAAAAATGAATAAAATAATTTGTAAAATTTTTTTTAAAAATATTTAAAGAAAAAATTTGCATAAATTGATAATTAACTTTGTTTTTTTTGATTTATCACTTTTTTTTTCTTAACTAAATTTATTTTTTTTTTTGTGTTCTTATTACTCTTTTATACTTGTAAATTACTCCTTTTTATCATTTGATATACTTATGAAGTTGATAATAATTATGAAAATGTCTTCTCAAATATCTAAAAGTTAAAGATAACTTAAAAAAAAAAAAATTGATTGCTAAAAAAAAAAGAAAAGTTACTTTTGAAGCTTCAAAATATATTTGAATTTTTTTTTCTCTTTTAAAATTTCCATCTCTTTTATGCTTTTCATGCCCCCCCCCTCCCTTTTTTTTTTTTTTTTTGTTCTAAATTTAAAATCTAAATGCATTTCTTTAGAAAAATATATATCACGCAAAAATGAATGTAAATAAAAGAATGCAATTAACAAAAGAATAATTATAACCTAAAAGATTTTAATTCAAAATTAATAACAAGTTTTGAATTTTAAGTGAAAATTTATTGGAAAAAAAATGAAATTTCTCGAATTGACTCAAATGAAATAAATTGATGATAAAATGTTAATAAACGAATTAAAATAGCAGTAAGCTAATTTAATTAATGCTCAACAACTAAGGAAGTTTATTTGCATAACAAATTATTGATTATGAAAATAAGCAAACAAGGGGAGCAATTATTTCAATGTGAAATTTTGGAAGAAATATAAGAGAAAAATTTATTAGTTTTAAAGAATACTAATTTTATCAAATTAGATTATTACTCATTTAAGCAATCGAAAAATTTTTTATTAGCTATCAATTTAATATAAATATTATACTTTAATAATTCCTTTTTCTTTATTAAAAAAAAATTGAAATAAAATGTTAAAAGTTGAAAATTTGCAAAAATTTCAAATAAACTATTAACAAATTTACAGTAAAAGCATACATTAATTTAATTTCTGAAATAAATTAACTAATTTTAAAAAGTTAAAAAATGAAATGAAAAATGTAAATTACCTGTTTTAATAATGAATTACCGCGTAAATGATGAAATAAAGCAAGTGATGATTCAGTCATGACAATTGCGCTCGTAGATTAAAATGATAAGTTAATTGTGACAATCATTTTTTTTTTTTTTCATTTAATTTCAAATTGTAATCGATGCTGAAAAAAAAAAAAAGGAACGCTCAAACTGAAATGATGTTGAAATGATAGCATGCTTCTTTAATAACTACCAAATTGTAAAGAATGATTTTTTCTTTTTTTTTTTTGAAAAAAAAGGAAATTTAAGAAAAAGTGCAAAAAATGAAAAGTGATGACATCATGTGTGATGTGCGACAATTCCGCTTTTATGCAAATATTTTTTGATGCATTGGAAATTTGAGTAAGTAAGTATCAGAGATGAAATAGATGATGACATTACTAGATAAAACTTATCATTAATTTAATTTTACGTTTGAAAAAAGAATGATTATATTTTAAATGACGATTTTTATAAAAAAGAATTTTTTAAAAATTAAAAAAAAAACATTTTTTTGAACTAAATTGTTTAATTTTTTGATCAAATTTTGATTGAAATTTTAGATTTATCGTTTAAATTATCAGAAAACAACATTTGAGTGTTTTTAAAAGTAAAAATGTACAAATTTCAGGTAATAATAAACTTTCAAATATTTTAATTTTAAGAAATAAAAAGCAAATGATATTATTATACAATTTGTGCATTAACTAATAGTAACATTTAAAAAAAAAAGTTCAAGTAAGAAAGTAATTTTGTTAGGTATAAGAACTTTGGAACTTTGGTAAAAGTTAATTTAATTTGTAAGTTAAGCCTTAATGTTTCATTTGCTATAGCAACATAAAATGACATATAAATCGTTGAAATATTTTTTAAAATTAATCATATCCAAATGTTATCAGTTTAATTTACAACAAATTTTACTTATTGTTATAGCATTATTAATGTATTAATAATAATTTAAT